GTAGTAGTTAGTTAGTTAGTAGTTAGTTAGTAGTTAGTTAGTTAGTAGTTAGTTAGTTAGTTAGTTAGTTAGTTAGTTAGTTAGTTAGTTAGTTAGTTAGTTAGTTAGTTAGTTAGTAGTTAGTTAGTTAGTTAGTTAGTTAGTTAGTTAGTTAGTTAGTTAGTAGTAGTAGTAGTTAGTTAGTTAGTTAGTTAGTTAGTTAGTTAGTTAGTATTGAAAAAGTATCAATCTAAATTTTTGGACAAAAATTTTTCAACAATTGGGATTTTATCGAACATTTATCTGCTTTTATTCCAAACTACACTCTTGAGATTTGACACCTAAAGTCAAATTTAAAAGTAATTAAATCGTGAGGTTAAAAGTATTTAACTTTTTAGTTTCGATACATACATCTGTATGTATAGTATCTATGTAGGTACTCTGTGTCAAATGAGCTTCATATTTTTCTGTTATGAATTACAAATGTTGTAATATTTGAAAATATTGTAACATAATTACATTTTTTACACTATGCCTAATTGATTTCGCTTACCAAAAATTATCTCTGGCGAAATAATTTAAAAAATTATACCGTTAAATAGTCGAAACAATTCAATGATTAACCTCAATTTTAAAGTTTGTTTACATGATGATCTACTCGCAGTTAATTGTTTATTGGTTAATTGCATGTTTTTCTTTAAATTTTAAACGTCAGTTGAACATTTACTTGTAGAGCTGCTCTCTTAATTTAAGAGAGTTTTACTGTTGTCAAAATTATAGATTAATACACATTTATATACAAAAATCTTATGATGACGTTTTTTTCGATTATTTAAGACATATTTAATAGAAGTTACTATTATATTTAAAGCTCTTACTTTTAAAATAATGTACTTTTTTTTAACTTACCAATTATCTAAAAAATACTACTATAATTTTGTTTTAACTTCTTAAGTTTGTTAATTTTTTTAATTTTATAAATTTCATTATATTTACTTAACGTTGTTAATACATAAAAATTGTTTTGACAACAGCTGTCATTATTACCTGACATTTGTTAACAGCTGTTAAATTTTAAGCCAAGCTTAAACTCAGTGTTGTATTTTGAATAAGTTTAGCTGAAACTTTAAAAAAGCCTAAAGATAGACAACATTATTTTTAAAGATATAAAATGTTATCAAAATTATTAGATGGGGGGAAATATTTATTTCAAATTTGTTTATTTACCAGCAGATAGGTAATTTAATCTCGAACTGTGTATCAGATGAAAATTAGTATTCTGTTAGTAACTCTATATAAAAAGAAAGAGCTTTATAGAATGTTGAGCTTTAACTAGTGTTTTTTTAGTAATTAAAATTAAAAACTTTTATTTTCTTTTCGTTTTTTTATTAATCACAAATAGATAAAAAATATATATTTTTTTTAATTTATTAAAATAATACAAATATAAAAACGTACAAAAAAATTTATAAACTAAAATTATGTAACAAAAAAATTGTATTTACAAACTAATGAAATATGTATATAAACTCCAAAAATATTAACAAAAAACTGAAATTTAGTTAAAACAAAACAATAATAAAAAAAAATTAAATAATAATGATTTTGAAAGACAATTTTTTATGTTTTTTGTTTACACTTAATCCTACTAACCAACTAATGGTGGTCACACAGCAACCATTAGAAAATGAGGTTCAAAACTTAAATTCAATGCTAAAATGTCAAAGTATGGTTTTGGGGAAGAAAACCATTTATTACTGGTCAATATAATGAAAAACAAAAAAATAACTTGATTTGGTGCAAATTAGTAATGTACCAAAGATTAAATGTGTTGCTGGTAAATTCGTTTCAATCAATCATTGTGGCTGCATCAAAAGTTCATGATCTTAGCTAGTGTTGTGGTCTTAGAAGTAATCGGTTATGTTACAATTGTCAATTACAAAAGGATCGAGGATTTCCGATAAAAAGAAAAATGATCATCAATTTGTTATAAAGAGAAAATTGATCGACAGTTTTATAAAGAAAAGAGAATTGATCAAGAGTTTTTTATAAAAGGAAAATTGATCGTTAATTTTATATAAATAGAAAATTGATCATCAAATTTCCATTAAAAGAAAATTGATCGATAATCGTTAAAAAAAGAAAAGTGATCGATATATTTCTTTTAATTAAAAGGGGATCAGAAATTTTCTATATAAATGCAATTGATCAACAATTTACTATAAAAATAAAATTGATCATCAAATTTATATTAAAAGAAAATTGATCGACAATCGTCTATAAAAGGAATAGTGATCGATATCTTTGATCTTTCTATGAAAAGACAATCTATTAGCAATTTACTATAAAGAGAAAATTGATCAACAGTTTTCTATAAAAATAAAATTGATCGTTAATTTTATATAAATAGAAAATTGGTCATCAAATTTCTATTAAAAGAAAATTGATCGACAATCGTCTATAAAAAGAAAAGTGATCGATATATTTCTATTAATTAAAAGGGGATCAGAAAATTTCTATATAAATGCAATTGATAAACAACTCACTATAAAAATAAAATTGATCAGAAAACTGATCGTTAGTTTTCTATAAAAAAATTATCGTTTAACAGTTTTCTATAAATTAAAAAATTGATCGATAATTTTCTAAAAATAGAAAATTGATCGATATTTTTCTATATAAAAAGAAAATATATCGACAATTGATCATCAATATGCTATAAAAGGAAAATTGATCAAGAATTTTATATAAAAAGATCAACAGTTTTCTATCAAAAGAAAATTGATCGACAAACGTCTATAAAAAGAAAAGTGATCGATATCTTTCTATTTATTAAAAGGGGATCAGAAATTTTCTATATAAATGCAATTGATTGACAATTTACTATAAAAATAAAATTGATCATCAATATTCTATAAAGAGAAAACTGATCGTTAGTTTTCTATAAGAAAAAGTATCGTTTAACAGTTTTCTATAAATTGAAAATTGATCAATAATTTTCTATAAATAGAATAATGGTCGATATTTTTTATATAGATAGAAAATTGATCGACAATTGATCATCAATTTTCTATAAAAAGAAAATTGATCATCAATTTGCTATAAATTGAAAATTGATCGACAGTTTTATATACAAATAGAATTGATCGACAGTTTTATATAAAAAGAAAATTGATCGTTAATTTTATATAAAAAGAAATTTGATCAACAAATTTCTATTTAAAGAAAATTAATCGACAATCGTCTATAAAAAGAAAAGTGACCAAGAATTTACTATTAAAATATAATTGATCATCAATTTTCTATCTAATGACAATTGATCAGAAATTTACTTTTAAAAAAGGACAATTGATCAATAGTTTTCTGTAAAATTGATCGTTAATTTTATATAAATAGAAAATTGATCATTAAATATCTGTTAAAAGAAAATTGATCGACAACCGTATAAAAAAAAAAGAAAAGTGATTGATATTTCTATTATTTGAAAATGGATCATAGATTTTCTATAAAAATGGAATTGATCAACAATTTACTATAAAAATGAAATAGATCATCAATTTTATATAAAGAAAACATTTTTCGAAAATTTTCTATAATAAGAGAATTAATCAACAGTTTTCTATAAATAGGAAATTGATCGATAATTTTCTATAAAAAGAAAATTGATCGATAATTTTCTATAAAAAGAAAATTGATCAATAATTTCCTATAAATAGAAATTTGATCAACAGTTTTCTATAAATAGAAAATTGATCGATAACTTCCTATAAATAGAAAATTGATCGATAATTTTCTATAAAAAGAAAATTGATCAATAATTCCCTATAAATAGAAATTTGATCAACAGTTTTCTATAAATAGAAAATTGATCGATAACTTCCTATAAATAGAACATTGATCGATAATTTTCTATAAAAAGAAAATTGATCAATAATTTCCTATAAATAGAAACTTCCGATAACTTCTTATAAATAGAAAATTGATCGATAATTTTCTATAAAAAGACAATTGATCAATAATTTCCTATAAATAGAAATTTGATCAACAGTTTTCTATAAATAGAAAATTGATCGATAACTTCCTATAAATAGAAAATTTATCGATAATTTTCTATAAAAAGAAAATTGATCAATAATTTCCTATAAATAGAAATTTGATCCACAGTTTTCTATAAATAGAAAATTGATCGTTAATTTCCTATAAATAGAAAATTGATCGATAATTTTCTATAAAAAGAAAATTGATCAATAATTTCCTATAAATAGAAATTTGATCAACAGTTTTCTATAAATAGAAAAATTGATCGATAACTTCCTATAAATAGAAAATTGATCGATAATTTTCTATAAAAAGAAAATTGATCAATAATTTTTTATAAATAGAAATTTGATCAACAGTTTTCTATAAATAGAAATCTGATCAACAATTTCCTATAAATAGAAAATTGATCGACAATTTTTTATAAATATATAATTGATCGATAATTTTCTATAAAAAGAAAATTGATCAATAATTTCCTATAAAAAGAAAATTGATCGATAATTTTCTATATAAAAAGAAAATTGAGCGATAATTTTCCATAATAGAAAATTGATCGTTAAATTCCTATAAATAGAAAAATTGATCAACAGTTTCCTATAAATAGAAAATTGATTGTTAATTTCCTATAAATAGAAAAATTGATCAATGGTTTTCTATAAATATATAATTGATCGAAAATTGTCAATAAATAAAAAAATTACCGAAAATTGTCTATAAAAAGAAAAGTGATCGATAACTTTCTATTAATAGACAATTCATAGACAATTTTCTAAAAACATGTAAATTTATCAAAATTTTTTTTTTTTTCAAAAACAATCCATCAACAATTCCCTATAAAGAGAAATTTGATTGACACTTTTCTACAAAAAGAAAATTTATCGATAATTTTTTATATAAACAGATAATTAATAAAAATTTGTATTTATAAAATGAATATTGAGCAACAACTTCCTCTAAGAAAATTGGTCGAAATTCGGTTTAATTTTCAACTCTTTTTCCATAAAACGTTTCCAGTTTCCCTCTCTAACATTCCAAATATTCTTTAAAATTTTAAGAATTTTTAAAATAAATCAATAACTACAGCTTCTTATAATGATCCATCTATTACTTAACCATTCTCCGCATTATTTATCTTTTCCTTCACTCATTCAACGGCCTCGATTATTTCATATTCTGCATCTAAAGAATGATCGTAATCGATGTTGTATTTATTTTTGATTTTGCTCTTATAATCTTTTAATTCATCATTATCGATGTTGTTGGCATTTGAGGATTTTTTCAAATTGTTGGAGTTTTTGTTGTTGTTGTTATTATTTTGATGTTGTTTTTGTTGGTTTCTATTATGATGATGACCAGCGTTTTTATGTTTGTTATTGGCTGTTGTAATAGTTGGTTGTTGATATTGATACTGTTGTTGCTGCTGGTGTTGTTGTGGTCGTCGCTGTTGCTTTTGTTGTTGTTGTTGATGTTTGGCTAGTTGTTGTTTTTCATCGTTATTATGATTAAAATTATATCTAGTATTAAATTTACTATTTTTATTAAAACTATTAATATTATTTATGTTGTTAATGCTGTTGGGGTTACTTTGGGTTAAAATTGATTGGTGTTGTTGTTGTTGCTGCTGTATTTGTTGTTGTTGTGAGTATTTAGTGTGGCCTCTAAAACTATTTTTGGTATTATTACGAGTAATTATTGTTGTTGCTATTGTTGTGGGTCTTGCTGTAGTTGTTAAAGAAGAAGTCGATGAAAATGTTCTTTGTCTGCCTCTAGTTTCTGGTGGTAAAGGTGGTATTAATGCTAATTGTAATTGTTGTTGTTGCTCATAGTGTTGGTGTTGCTGTTGTATTAATTTTGCCTTAACATTTCCTTGTCTTTGCTGTTTGAGTTGTTGTTGCTTTTTAACTAAAATCTCATTTTCCTGCTCATAATTTCTAGCACTTCCTCTCTGTTGGGCCTTATATCAAATACTATTGTCATCATTAACAAACTGATTGATCTCTGTTGTACGATAGAGTTCATCATTATTTTCGTATAATTGTTCAGCCGCAGGACAATTAACATTAGACCACCAGTCACAGACTCTTACTGCTTGATTGAAGACCGTGCCATTGGGACAGAGAAATGAGTATTGATGACCGGAATGTAGACACCAATGCCAGACCTAAAGAAAGAAAAGAAAAAAGTAAATTAAAAAAAAATAAAAAATTTTCTAACAAAAAAAAAAAAAAAAAAAATCGAAAAATTTTCATAAAAAAGAAAACAAATTTTGGAATATTTTCTATAAAAGAGACAAAATAAATGTCTGAACATTTTTTAATAAAAAGAAAAAAAAATCCAATATTTGCTATAAAAGAGAAAATTTTTTCAAATATTTAAGAGAGAGAAATTTTTAAAATTTTTTACAAAAAGATTAATTATTATTAATTTCCGAAAATCTTCTGTAAAAAAAGTTCTTCTTTAGCAGAAGACTATACGTAAAAAAGAGACATTTTCGGAAAATTTTTCTATATTAAGAGAAAATTATCGAATTTTCTATAATAATCAGAAATTTTCCAAAAATTTTCTATAAAAAATTAAATTTTCAAAAAAATTTAAAAAAGAGAAATTTTCCGAACATTTTCTACAAAAAAGAGAAATTTTCCGAAAATTTTCTCCAAAAAAGAGAATTTTTCCGAAAATTTTCTATAAAGGAGAGAAATTTTTTATAAAAAACAGAAATTTTCCTAAAAATTTCTATAAAAAAGAAAAATTTTCCTAAAAATCTATATAATTAATAGGCAAGACGATTTTTTGTGACCCCTTTTACTCTTACAGTATACATCTGATCTTGGCAAAAAATATATCATTTTAAAGGTATTTGTTCGCAGATGTGCACAATATATATATTAATGAGATCGGTTCAGAATTTTACGAGCTATAAGCGTTTAGAGTTGTTACTAATACATAGAAACAATAGTCACACGTACGTATTCTTGAAATTAAAAACAAACAAAGCAAGAAACAAAACAAAAAAGTAAACCGTGTTGTTTACTTTTTTTTAAAAAAAAGAGAGGAGAGTGCAGAAACGTTTAACTTCTCTGTTACTGTTTTCTTTTTGTATTTCGCATGATATTTGTTGTTGTTGTTGTTTTTATAAGATTTTTGTAAACAAATATGTATGTAAACAGGCTTGGGCAAAGCGAAAATAAGATTTTATTGTTTCATATTTTTGTGTAAAGAGCTAAATTGTGAATGAGATAATGATCTATTTTGTTATAATATCGTTACGATTGTTACCAAATCGAAAGGAATATTTTTATAAGAAGTAGGACTTCAGTTTTATATTCAGAGTTTTCTATTGGAGGTTTTTCGTTATTTAAACTTTTTAAGATAATTAAATTGAAGTACATTCCCGAGGAAACAACGAACTGGGAATATAAAAAGATGTGTAAATAATGCTTGGGGACACCTCAATATACGTCAAACAATGTACTAATATTGGTATTTTACCTGGAAAAATATTGGTAGGACATCAGTAATTTGTAATGAATTTTCAATTCCCTAACTTTTTAACGACCGTATAATATTTTAAAGACAAAGATTGGAAAAATATAAGAATGTCAAAAGTTATGTATTGAAATATTTTTAAAATAAAAATTATTAACGTGAACTTTTTATTGGTCGTTACACTGCCGATACTTTTCAATTATGTTTAACGAAAAAAAATCGGTGAAATAAAATACTGAATTGCGGTACATAATTATTAGTTTTGATTGATTTAGAAGATTTAAATTATGGACTAACGAATTGATTCAGTGTCAGTAAGTAATAAAAAAAGCCTGTATAAAATATAAGTAAAGTTTAGTTGGTCATGCCGGTAAATGATACACCGCAATAAATGGCTAGGTATATCGCTTATATGCAGGTTTAGCACACCGAGGATTTGATGATATTCTTCTTTTTTGGGTTATTCTAACCAATTAGGAAATAGTTCCATGAAAAACTTACATTGAAAAGTAATGAGTTAAAAAGCTAATAAAACCTCTTTTCACTACTTCTTCATTAGCATTTTAAGTCATTATTTTAACACGGTGATGTCATTGGAGGCAAGTACTTCTACGCACTCTTACAAATAGGGAGTTAAAGAAGTACTTGCAATTTCTCTTACAAAACAGTTGTTGAGTAAGTTGTTTTGTTTTTTAATAATAAAAAGAGCCAGCTAGAATACGAACCAGGACTTCGGTTTGTTAGTTAAACGTTCTACACACTGCACCACTGCTTAGCTATTTTATTGCGCGTCAAATAATGGTTTTCACAGACAAAACTAATTTTGTTTTATTTTTTGTAAAACACAATTCTTAAAACGCAATTAAATAAAATGTGCAAACAAAATGACAAGGTCGAAAATAAAGTACTTCTATATCAGATTATAAGAAAGTCATTACTAGAGTACTTCTAAGTAAAGCAGACGGTAAGTAGTAGTCATTGAAAAGTAAGTGGTTATGGAAGTACAACCGATTACCGAGTTTTTGCTGGGGTAGTGTAAAGTGAAAACTGTAA